TGCATACCCCATTTCCACCAAATTTGCGGGGGGCGCAAGAAGCCTTTTTAGATAATGTTGTTTATAAAGAATAATAATAATATCTGAATTGTCTGCTTTGGAGTGACTCTTCAGGAAGCCGTACAATGTGAGAGTACCGTCTTGTATATCCTATTCACAATCTCTAGTCCAAAGATACAGGTTAATTTATTATCTTTTCCTATGAAATAGCATTGAAAGGTGATAAATTTTACTTGCACCTTTGGACTACAGATTGTGAATAGATATTACTTAGAATTCAATAGGTCTATTTCTGCAGAGATCACAAACCAGTGAGAGTGAATTTCATTGGTTGAAACTAGTTTTCTGACTGTTTTCAACCAATGAAATTCGCCTTGACTGGTTTGTGATTTCTGCAAAAACAGACCTAATGTCATTGGTAGAATCCGAAATTCGTATACTGAGTGGTTTCCAAACCGTTCATGGGACGGTTTTTAATGTGTTGAAATGGAACAGACCTATCTTCAGCTTCGATTGTGAAAACAGAAATCTGCTCGGAGTCAGTTCAAATAATTCATACTGTTCTGGGGTTGTAAAAACCTACAGCTTCCTCTATAAGCAATTTTTCGCAAGGATAACAAGCTAATCTTTTGCTGGATTATGTGATGTGTCAATGAGGAATTTGCATAAATTTTTTTTAATTCTCTTATTAAATTCTCTACATTGTAGAAAATTACTTGCCACATAAATTTTGAATTTTCAAGTAATAATTTTTCTGTTAAAAAATATAGAAATTCAATCAAAATAACCCTCTTCGCGCCAAAATGCAGTCGAAAAATCAATAACTTCACAAGACGATATCCGTCAAACCGAGTCTCTGGTATTTTAAAGCCGCATTCCAGCTGTGTGCTTCAAGCACGGTGCAGCACAGTGTTCTGTGTTTGAAACGCAAAAGTTAACAGCTCTCGGAACGCAGTACGGCTGGAACACGAACAAGCGCTTGAAGCATTTGCCCGCTCAAAAGCTCGATTGCGTGCTCAAAAGCGTCAGCTGGAAAGCGGCTTAAATTAGGAAATCGAAGAACCTGTCAATATTTATAATAGGTTGATGTACCCTCTAGTAATCGCACCAAAATTTCACGTAAATCTTGAAAAAAAACCTGTCACAATTTTCTCGCTTTCCGTTTGTTCACAAATTTTCCATTTTTTTTGTTCTGGGGTGGTATTCCGTTCCGTTCACACTAGGCCTATTCGGGTTTGGAAAAAGTACGGTTCTAGAACGGTCCAGAAGAATCGCACAGTTTATTATTGAAATTTGTGATAGTTGAGTCGTTGTTATTTTGTTGATCAATAAACTGGACGATTGTTTTGAACCGTTCTAGAACTGTCCTTTTTCCAAGCCCCAATAGGTCTACATAGGGTAAGTTCAGCTTGCTCACTCCGTGCACTCGGAGTGACTCCATTCGCACTCTAGCCGTTCGGGTTAATGTTCGGGTAATGCTTTTTACGGTATCAGGGGTGACTCCATTAGCTCTGTTCACCCCACTCCAACTCCGCGCTGAATAGCCTAACTCACCGTTAGTAGAATTGAATCGACTTTGTCGCTACAGGGATTCATCTGTTCACGGGTTGCGATCGAAAAAAAGCTACTTTTCACGTCAAATCGATCGCTGCGTTTCGGTGAAGCAAGGGGTGTCACCTGTATATGTAAGGGCCAAATTTATAGTCACTCCTTGAGGCTTCCTCAGACCTTAAGGAAGCCTTGAACGTTTAGAATTGACATGACTAACTTGTTAAATAGTAGCAAGTGTCCATTCTAAATTTACGACCTCCAAGGAAAAGTCAAGGAACGTGTGTGGTAGAAAACCGTCGTGTTTTTCTACCACACACTTCGGTTTTGGCACGACGTGTTTCCTCGCGGCGGTGAAAACCGTCGTGTTTCACCGTAGTGTATGGGGCCCTTAAGATAGCTGAACGGATTCGTTCTGCATAGAGTCGCTAGCGACATTGCCTTAATTCGATCGCATTCTAGCGTGAACGGAATACGGCCCCGTTAGAGAGATGACATAACGTTTCCGAACCCGGTTACATAGTGACGTCATCGGTACCACTCGAATTTGAGCGGTATGTTGCGGTTGGTGAAACCGGGGCCACGTGAAAAGAGCTATTGTGTTTTATCCTTGTGTTCGGTATTTTCCGTACGTTCGGTAATTTGATCTGAGTTCTCCGAGCATGAATTTACCGTTCGTTTATTTAAAAAGTGTACTTGGTGCAGGCTCATTCACGTTCGTTTGAAGAAATTTCGAGCCCTCTGATACAGCTTTTAACTGCTCTGTGCGCTCGCTAGTCACGTGATTACGGCTCCGCTCTGCACGCTCTGCGCTTTGAGCAAAATACCGAACGCAAGGTTTGATCAAAGAGTAGAGCGTGTTGAGCGGAGTTGAAATCACGTAACCAGCGAACGGACAGAGCAGTTGAACGCTGTTTCAGAATGTCAGAAATTTTAATAAACGAACGCAAATGAGCCTGCACCAAGTACACTTTTCAATTAAACGAACAGTAAATTGAAAATTAAATTGATTATTGTTTATTGCAAACTGTAGGAAATCGAAAAAAAATCGTTACTTTTTTTTAATTTCGACCAAATATGATTATTCCGGAAGTTATACAAATATTAAGTTTTGTATATAGATATACTGAGCATGTGCAACGTCACTAATTTATATGATAAGTGACGTCATAGGCATATTTCATAGCGTTGTATCTCCGTCAATTTTTGACTAAGAAGAAAAAGAAAAAACACGTGTCAACTTATTTTTTATGGACTAACGATATCAGCAATAAAAAAAATTGATGCAAGTACCCTGTTACATAGGGACCCGGACCGAAATGACATATCGTTTCCGTTCCGGTCCACAGCATCATGACTAATATCTGTTCCGTTACGGTTTCGGTTCTAGCGTTGAGCGTTGTTCTAGAGAATATTTCGATCCGGTTCGGCCAACGATGATACACACTTACAGAATTGCTTCAGGCTCGTTCTACGTAATCGCCGCCATATTGGTGTTTTACCATTTCCGACGTCATAACTAAGTCGTCAGGCGAGAAATAACATGCTGCCTACGTAACAACTGGTAATTTGTCGCGGGTTGAAAGGGAGAATTTGTTACACACAGGCGTTATGAGGATAGGCTATCCTGTAGTAGTAGTGTGTATCACAGATTGTGTGTATCATCCTTAACATCCGGCTAGCAGCCTGTCACAAATCGTCCGTGACCGATCATTTGTAAGTTGTATTCCTTTCACACCTAGGAGGAGGTCTGGAAGAGCTCCTTAGGGTGGGTATTATAAAACTGCTTTAAGAGTTAACTTCTGGAAATACATGTAATTCAAAAAGTTAACTTTAAGTTAACTGTCAAAGCAGTTTTATAATACCCGCCCTTATTCCTTTCGAAAGCTGTTTGTTGCACCACGCATCTGTTCCTATCAAATCGGGGTGACTAGCACCGGAGCGAGTAGCTCGAGTGTTTTTTTAAGCTCATGCGAAAGGAATACATAGTGCGTGAGCGTGTTCCAGCTGTTGTGTTTACATGTAACCTTCAGTCTTGAACCACTAATTCACCGCTCTTTCGCATCTGGGGGCGGATTCTCATCCTCTAGTCGCTACCTATCGTCCCGACTCACCCGTAGAAAGGCAATGTGATAGACGGGACGATAGGTTGCGACTAGAGGATGAGAATCCCCCACCTGTATTGAGTATTGTCCGTCGTTTTCTGATGTATATGTTCGTATCTGACACTTTCCGTATGAGGAGCGAAGGGGTGAAGCATAAAGCCTAGTACTCATAACTGCGAAATTCGCATTTTTTTGACATTGCGTTGACAATTTGACGTTTTATGCGTGTCTCAAACGTCAAATTGTCGAAACAATGTCAAAAAAATGCGAATTTCGCAGCTATGAGTACTAGGCTTAAGGGTGGATTTTCATGCATCCGTTTGTCCGACGAAATATATCCGAAAAACATTCTATTCTGACATAATCGTATAAAAATATGTCAAAATAGAAGATTTTTCGGACATATTTCGTCGGAAAACGGATGCATGAAAATCCGGCTTAAAGCCTAGTACTCATAACTGCGAAATTCGCATTTTTTTGACATTGCTTCGACAATTTGACGTTTGATTCACGCATAAAACGTCAATTTGTCGAAGCAATGTCAGAAAAGTGCGAATTTCGCAGTTATGAGTACTAGGCGTAAAGCTGGCAAAAACAGATGTGACGTTAGGTTACCATTGGCGTTCTAATGTAGGGTGCCGCTGGCTCACATTTCTTTGGAGTATCAAATCGGCGGACTTTTTATGTAGGTGATCTGTGGCACAGTCTTTAGATTAATCACTGAACAGAGGCATATTGTGTTCTTAACTATCTGAATAATGTCCATTTTTTTGCCCCGAGTACAAAGTGTTCGGAGTTCCGTAACAGCTCCTGAAGATAGTACACCGGTGCAATTTGAAAATGGTTTCCGACGATTCCTAAATATAAACCAAATATTCTCCATGTCTATCCAAACAGAAAAGGAAATCTTAATTTATGGAAGCGTGAATTTTCAATGTTCCAAACCCAAGATCGCATGGAACTCTTTTGGAATTGCACCAGAACATGTTTTGAGATTGGATCCAACATCATTACGACACTCTCTTTGCCATTTTGCCGATGGAATTCACTATGGCTGAGTTCGGCTTTACACTCTGTAAACTCTGAGTGTGCTTGAAACGATAAGACCCTGTTCGTTCTAGCTCTCAAGACTCAGAGTGTTCTCTTTTGCGTTGGGCCTATGACTGCTTATGACGTCACGATATCCATGCTCATACCGTTCCGCTCTGTGGAGTGCAAAGCTGAACTGAACTCAGCCAAAAAAGATTCTTCGATGATACTCCAATAAATAATAATTAATTTGGATACATCTGATCGAAAACCCCTAATTTAACGACAGCTTTCTGATTGACGTGAAACTTTGACAACTCTTGACAAATTTCCCCATCAAATCAATCAATCACAATTTTCGTGTTTTTTGGCGGAATGCCGTTAAAATCAAAATATTTTCAACTTACATAACTCCCTCGATATTCCACCCCTATTCCTCATTAATTTTAAGAACAAACCCCCTTTTGAAAGTATTAACGACAATCTGCAAGGGCCAAAAGCGTTAATCTAACCTCACAAATTGCGCGAGGGCCCCCACAGTTAGAACCGGTTTTTTTTTTTTCAAATGGCCGGAAAACGGAGTGCGACCAGCGACTTGAACCACGACAACTGGAACCAAGAAGACGAACCGGAAGAAAGAGGTACATTCCAAAAGGCTTCGGATGTTGCATTGAAAACACGAATCATGAAGACTGCTAAAAGACGAAATCCTATCAGAGTAACTACAAAGTATATTTAAATTATTTTTCTTCTATAATTATTGGTTTTAGAGTGAAGATACTGATGGTGACAAAAAGAGTGCATTTGTAGGTTTCACAGCTTTCGGTAGCAAACCAGCTAGTGCAGATTTTTCATTTCTCAAAGAAGTTTCTGGTGGTGCACCCAAAACTAACGGTATAGCTAAACAGGACATGTCCAGCACTAGTGTAAATATTTTTACAACCACAAAATCCACAAGCATATTTGGTGGGTCGGCTTCTACAACAACAAGCACAAACATGTTTTCTTCAGCAATAGTTCCTAATTCAACCAGTAGTAGCAAAAAGTCTGAAAAATATTGTTCAAGACTGAAAGGTTTAAATGAGAGCGTCACCAAGTGGATTTCAAAGAAGGTGGAGGAAAATCCTTTGATTAGTTTGCAGCCTGTTTTTGAAGATTATAAAAAATACTTGGAGGAAATTGAAAAAGAAGAATCCACTACTAGTAGTACTACTGTTGAAACAAAAATTCCTACATTTGATTTTTCGCCTGAAAAAAATAATAAAGCAATTCCAGATAGTACATCAGAAACAGATAAAAAGATGCCAACTTTTAAGTTTGGTACACCAACAGATTCTTCGCCTAAATTTCCCTCAACTGTTAGTTCCACTGCACCAACATTCAGTTTTGGTTCAAGCGGTATTAAACCATTTTCCTCCTCAGGAAGTTCTTCAACAGCTTCAGCTTCTTTTAGTAGTTCAGCTGGAATAAAACCATTTTCATCTACAGGAAGTTCTTTTAGCAGCTCAAGTGGAATAAAACCATTCTCAGCTGAAGGCTCTTTTAGCACTCCTAGTCCTAGTACTATTCAATTTCCTTCAGCTACAGGATTTAGTTTTGGAACTGAGCCAAAACAAAGTACCTGTAAGTTGATTCTTTGTTTTGGTTTAATTGATATTGATTGTTGTTTTATTAGCACAAGAAGATAATCAGGAACAAGATGAAGATGCACCTCCCAAAGTTGAATTTAAAGCAGTAGTAGAACAAGACTCTATCTACACGGTTAAATGTAAAGTTTTTGTTAAAAAGGGCGATTCTTTTGTAGATAAAGGCGTAGGGAATTTGTACTTGAAGCCCATTGAAAATAGTGAAAAAGTACAAGTAAGATTTTCCACATAACAAAAAAACTAATTATTTATTAATGATTTATTTTTTAGTTAATTGTTAGAGCAAATACAAATTTGGGCGGTTTGCTTTTGAATTTTATACTGTCAGAAAGTGTACCGACAAAACGTATGAGTAAAAGAGATGTTATGTTGGTGGCAATTGCCACCCCAGACTCGAAACCACCCCCAACCCCAGTTCTGTTGAGAGTGAAATCCCCAGAAGAAGCGGACGATCTACTAAAAGTTTTAGAGAAACACAAAAAATAGTTTTATAAGTTTTCAGCTGTATTTTTATTTTTTTTTTTGTATTGACTTTTTTAATTATTTTGTGCTCGGGAATAAAAAGTGTTTCATTTAAATTTGGTTTTTTAATTTAACTGTTAAATTAATGAACTCTAGAGAAAAGACTGAATTCTTGTTTACTGGAAATATTTTAGTATAATCTTTTGATTTTAACGAAAGCGTAGTCAAATCCTACTTTTTTTTTGGTATCCACACTTTTTTTATGAAATTTCGTTAAAAAAGTGTAAATTTTTGCTTTTCTGTAAAAAAAGTGTAAATTCACAACACCGGCGTATACAAGGGGGGGGGGGGGCAATGGGGGTAACTACCGAAAAATATGTACCCTACACCAGATAATAGTTATTTTTTATACAAGACGATAAAATGCTATTTTATCGTTGACCGGAATTCCGGGAGACGATAATGGCATTTTATCGTCGTGTGTAAAAGAACGTTTTTTTCCATAGCCTAATTATGGACGCGTAAGGTTTCGAAAACACTTAGAAATTATTTGAGTCAAACAAAACAATAATGTTGTAGGCTGATTTCCAAGATTCTTCATGTTATATTCCACTGGAAAAATTTGAAATTTCGGGAGAATGAGCTTCCAACCTTCCTCTTTACATGTAAAAAGTTTCAAAATTTTCCCTCCACTAGTTTTCCAGAAAAACTTTGAATTGTGTGACAGTATTTTCAATTAATTCAGTTATTGTCATTGGTTATTGTAGGTTGATTTCCAATATTCCTCATGTTGTTATTTTCTACTCGAAAAATTTGAAATTTTGTGAAAATGAACCTTCAATCTTTCTACTCTTCACATGCAAAAAGTTTCAAATTTTTGCTTCCACTAGTTTTTCAGGAAAACTTTAAAATGTGTGAGACAGTATTTTGGATTAATTCAATTATTGTAGGTTGATTTCCAAGATTCTCCATGTTGTTATTTTCCACTGGAAAAATTTGAAATTTTGGAAAAATGAGCTTCTCACCTTCCTCTTTACAAGCAAAAAGTTTCAAAATTTTTTCCTTCACTAGTTTTCCAGGAAAACTTTGAAATGTGTGAGAGTGTATTTTCAATTAATTCAGTTATTGTAGGTTGATTTCCAATATTCCTCATGTTGGTATTTTCTACCGGTAAAAATTTGAAATTTTGGAAAAATCAGTCTCTGACATTCCTCTTCACATGCGAGAAGTTTCAAAATTTTCCCTTAATTAGTTGTTTAGGAAAATTTTAAATTTTGTGAGACTGTATTAACAATTATTTCTGTGTTTATAAGTTCATTTCCAAGATTTTTCATGTTGGTATTTTCCACTTGAAAAATTTGAAATTTTGGGAAAATGAGCCTCTAACCTTACTCTTCACATGCAAAAAGTTTCAAAATATTCCCTTCACTAGTTTTCCAAGAAAACTTTGAAATGTGTGAGACTGTATTTTTTATTAATTCAGTTATTGGAGGTTGATTTCCAAGATTCTTCATGCTGTTATTTTCCACTGGAAAAATTTGAAATTTTGTAAAAATGAGCCTTTGACCTTCCTTTTCACATGCAAAGTTTCAAAATTTTCCCTCAATTAGTTTTCCAGGAAAACTTTGAATTGTGTGAGACTCTATTAACAATTATTTCAGTTTTTGTAACTTGATTTCCAAGATTGTTCATGTTGTTATTTTCTACTGGAAATTTTGGGAAAATGAGCTTCTCCTTTTCCTCTTTACATGCAAAATGTTTCAAAATTTTCCCTTCACTAGTTTTCCAAGAAAACTTTGAAATGTGTGACACTGTATTTTCAATTAATTCAGTTATTGCAGGTTGATTTCCAAGATTCTTCGTCTTGTTATTTTCCACTGGAAAAATTTGAAATTTTGTGAAAATGAGTTTTTGACCTTCCTCTTCACATACCTGCGTCTTAGGCCCGGTTTATTCATTTTCAGATAAACTTCCTGATAGCATCTGCAAAATAAATCTACCGTTCTATAATTCTATTGTTCGGCGAATAACTGGCCGACCAATGAGATTGCAGATTGCGTTTTTATCCGACAGATTGCATACCTGACAGTTTATCAGAGATGAGTAAACAGGCCCTTAGTGGGCTAAATTTTGGTGTCTGGGCCAATCAAAAGCCTGGAATAAGAAGAGAAAAAGATACTTGTATCAATTCAATTCAATTCGTATCATTCAATAAGCAATAAGAAAAAGGTGGAGATAAAATAGGATTAAAATATCCATCAAAATTATTTTTTGTGATATTTTCCAAAATGATATTAACATCATCATACATACTGCATGAGAATTTTGTAAATTTCAATCGGATTTTAAGGTAATTGCTCTCGAATCAAGGCCAATAATTGAATCCTTTATACAGATCTCTAGTCAATAATTTCAATACAGCTTCAATCATTTCGCAACTGCATAGCTTCATTAAAGTCTTTTAACTTTGATTCTTATTAAAGTGAACAAGCAGGAGGAAATTCTAATTTTTTTTCCCTAAATTTCAATCTTCTCTCTATCTACTTGCAAAATTTCAATCTAATTCCTCGAAAATTTCCCTAAAAATGTAAGCTAATTAAATTTCTTGAAAATTAAACTGATGTTAAGGGCAATCAAAAATCGGGAATCATCAACTGATGGTGATTTCTCAAATCAAGAACCTCAATAATGAAGTAAAATATTGACTCAAAAACCCTTGAAACTTTCACACTTTTTTTGAGTAAATTACCCGCATGATAATATAATGATGTTCATATAATGATCATGATTTATGTGGGCAGTACTTTAAGGAGGGCGTTCAAAAAAAATAATTAGAGCACATATTTTAAACAATTTTTTTTGTTTTCTACTAGCAGTAGATATATTATATATTCGTCGGTAAAGAAAGTCATTATATGCCTCACGCATTATAAACCTCGGCGCTTCGGACCTCGGTTCAAAAAAGCGCTCGGTAAACTCGGTATATAATGAGCAATTTCTCTACCTAGGTATATAATATACAATTTTTTTGTCAAAAATATATACATATTTTGTTTTTTATTTATTTGTCAAAGTTTTTCAAACGAATTTCTATTTATGCAAAAGTGTTCGACTCAAATAATTTCTAAATATTTTTGATACTACAGGCGTCCATAATTGGGCTATGGAAATAGTATATTATATACCAAGTTAGAGAAGTCCGTCAAATACCGACTTTTATAATGCGAAAAGTATATAATGACTTTCTCTACCGAAGAATATGTATACATATACTTTTTTTACGAAATTTCGTAAAAAAAGTGTCGATACCAAAAAAAAAAGTAGGATGTGGCCCCTCTACGCTTTCGTAGGATTTTACCCTTTTTATCCTAAAAGTTTCATAATGACCACTTCAGTAGTTTACCAGAAAAATGTTTAGAAGTAAGAGATTGCATGTTTGCTTAATTCAGATTTTGCAAGTTGATCTTTATTAATTCACCTTAATGAAAATAGCTTATCCTGCATTGGAACTTTTTCGTGATTCATAGAAAATTTAATTCGCTATAATTGAAGCCTAATTACGTTGAGATCGGCTTGCAATTAACAAAGTTGTGAGGCAAAACGTGTGTTGATGTCATTTTAGAAAAAAAATCCCAATGAGAGACTTTTTATATTGAAATTTGCCTGCTCATCTTCATAAAAACGAAACTCCAGAGAACTTAGATCTGTTAAATTAACAAACATATTTATTGCTAAAATGATCAGCTATAGACTTAGACTTAGTGGCTTTGTCAGCTCAAATTACTGCACCAATGCCAACATAAAGTTTACCTATACAAACATGAGACAATAAATAATTCATGATATAATTTTTTTTAAATATACAAACAAACACAAACCAAATCACACATTGAAATATTTTAAAACCCACACTAAATTTTTCCTATAACCAACTTATCCAAATTAATATTCCACAATCCCACTTCGATTTGTTTCATGTGCACTTCAACACACTTTTGGAAAACTTGCTGATTAGCCGGGCTCAATTTTCGTTTGATATTCTGCACGGTGCCCTCTAAAACTTGTAATTCGTAAGCGTTATGGTCGTTGACGGCCAAACTTTTAATTTGCAACATCAGAGCCGTCAAATCTGTGATTAGTTCTAAAATTGTGAGATTTTTGCAAGGTCCTCTTTCCATGTCGACTGAACGATGTCTTTCCACGATTTCTTTTGCCTCTTCTTTACATTTTTCTCGCAATACTGATGGAGCTAGCATGGCCAGAATGCTTGGTCCTGGTGCGATTTCTTGACAATAAACCTTGAATGGGAAAAAAATTGTTATGTTTTAGTAATATGACGTTTTTATTAAGAGATTAATGGAAAACATATTAAAAGACCAATAAAATTTGTAGATTCTTACCTGCATTTCCTCCAAAAACATCTCCAAATCTGAGTTCAACTTTTCCAAATCAATTAAAATGGTGGCGTACTTTCTTTCAAAATCTTCATTCACTTCCTCTTCAAAAGAATTCAAAATTTCAGCTTCTGTATTCATGTTCCTCAGCTGTTGCACTTTGCTTTTCTTCAAAGTCAAAATCCTCTTAACCAGCACCATTTTTTCCAACAGCTTAACCGGATAACTACCAAGTTTTCCTTCAGTAATAGTTGGAAACATTGGACGGTTCAACATAGAAACTGACAATAAAGGATCCTTCCTGTAAGACATACTTTTATATGCTGGACTCTTGACGTCAGGCGAAAATTGCAAAGTGCCATTGGCTCTGGGCCTGAATTTGCTTTGCAAACTTGTGATACTGATTGTCTCTGGTGGTTCGTTGGATAAAACTTCATAGTCTGGTACTGAATGGGTTCCGAGGCCTTGTCTTTCGAATGTGATGCGATATGTGTTGTTTGAGGGGTCCACTGCGTCGATGCTGCCAGTGTAAAGACCGTCCGAAGGTTTTCTGAGTCTTGCAGTGACTTTGGTGCCAATTACCAATTGCATTGGAATTTCTGCGGGCAAATCTTTGAAGCTTGCTAAATCTGTAGCTTTTCTTTGTTGCAAGGCCCTGATTTTTTTTCTCTTTTTTTCCAATTCGAGCCGTTCTTCATTGAAAAAGGCTTGCGAACATCTTCTAGGTTTTCCCATCATTTTACGAATTATGGTCCATTCTCCGCGCTTCAGTTCGCGTGTTTTCAGTTCGGAAAAGGATTCTTTCAGGCAAATTTGAAAATCGTTTTCGCCCGAGAACAAACAACCGTCGATGTTGCTGTAAAACCACTCATAGCAAACCCATTTGTGGGCTTGGGGCAGCTTGAGCAAATTTCGTAGGCGCATTCCAATTTTTTGACCAATTTTTCTATCAGGTGATTGTACTCTGGGCAAAGGAGAAACGGTGCGGTGCGTGTTTCTTTTAGCTGATTTAGTAGCACTTTCAGATTTGAGTTTTGGGGTTCTTTTCATTGGAGTTTGTCTAGGCTTTTTGGCACTGGAGACCCTAAACGGAGTTTTAATGAGATATGTTAATAGAAAATGTTTAGAGTCATTCGATTGATTCGGGTGACAAATTTCTTACCTATGATGTGGAGTATTAACAATATCATCATCGAAAAACAACTTATTCCTTTTCCGAATCCTAGCAGGCATTCCGCGAGCGTTTAAAACTTGTGCGGGCTGTTTCGGGGCCGGTTTAGGGGGCGCAATCGTGCCCACTCGTTGCAGGCCCAAAGCGGCGGGCCCCAGAGTGTTGGGGTCATCGTCAGCTTCGGGCATTTCGTCGCTGTGCTCATTTTCTTCATCTTCTTCCAGAATTTCTTCTTTGATTTTTAGTTGTTTTTCGTTTGTCATATTGCTGTGTTTATTTCTATACATGAAATTATTATTATTATTATAATTGGAATGAAGTTTCAATTAATAATTATTAATTAATAATAAATAACCGAAGGGTAAACCACTAGTGGGAATCATTGTACATTTTTCTGGGAATCACATAGTAATCAATCAGGAATACATGGAAATCACTTGGGAGTTCCTGAGAATAACCTAGGAATCGCTAGGAATTTTCTAGGACTCTATGGGAATTACATAGGAATTCATTGAAAATCGTTGAGAATCATGTGGTAATCGCTGGGAATATCATCTCATTCTAACCCAAAAAATATTAATGTTAATTTTAAAATTAAATAGCGCAAAAACAACTGAACCAAATATCAACATATATGGTATATTTAGAATCAGAAGAAAAAAAGCTATCATTCTAGCCGGAAATATACAGGATGTTCCATTTGAAAAATGCAAGTGTTTATCATTGTGACAGTTGGCACCTGTCATTTGCCCGTTTTGACATTCGCAAAAGATAATAGACATAAAACCCTACAATTTTCATATTTAAAGTTTTTTTCCACCTCGTATAGCTAAAGCTGTAGGTAGGGGTCAAAATATAAGGAAACACCCTGTACCTAACCAAGCCGGGCCAAACCAGATTTTTTCCCTATTTCCCGATATTGACATTCTTAAAATCTGCTGAAAAATAAACCAACTTTTAAAAAATCCAATAAGGTCTTCGTACTGTTAGATTTTTTATATTTTTTTAAAATAAAAATCAAAAAATTGAGAAAAGATGAAAATGGAGATGGAAGAAGGGAGAGACACATCAGAGATGGTAGTGGAAATGGTAGAATTTTTTTCTATTCCTGGCTTTTGAATTCTTTTTATGTATCTATAAAAATTTGAGAAAAAACAAAAGCCTGGGAAAGTAAAAAATTGACACTATGACAGAATAGAGAAATAGAGAAGAGACATTTAAGAATTCCAGGCTTCTGAAGAATGGTCCCTATTCTTACAGGTAATATAACAAAACATTTGAGAGGAAATAGTAATTCAAGAGCCTAAAATAGTCAAAAATTGACACTAAAAGAGGAGGAGAAATTCATGAAAAATTGATAATTTCTTTTTCTGATCCAGGCTCTTATATTGGATATTCCTTATATTTTTATGAAAATTTAGGGGCCTGTAATAAGCATGGCTTTTTGATGTTCTATTCCAAACTTGATAATTTTCCTTTCATATTCCAGGCTTTTGACTGTTTTAAATTTTATTCCAGGCTTTTAGCTGTTCCTAGATTCTTTTATAATACGAAATTTCAATGGAAACAAAAATTCAAGAGCATGGAATCATTAAAAACTGAAACTATAGAGAAGAGAAATAGAGACAAGAATTTCAAGGAAATATGAACGGACTTGCCACCATTTTGACAAATTTTTGACAGGAGTCATTTTACACAGCTGAAAACTGATTTTTTAAATACTTTGGTAATTTTTCTTCAAAAAAGGTACTCTACATTTGTTTCGATTAAATCAGCCGTTTCCGAAAAAATTAGGTTTTTGTATAACACCTTCAATCATTTATCTTCGAAATTTATTTAATAATCGAGATTAAGAAAAAACAGATAGAAGTTGACTTATAAAAAGTACCTGAAAACGACCCTTTTTGCCATAAAAAGGTACTTTTTATAAGTCAACTACTTTTACCTGTTTTTCTTAATCTAGAATCAACTTAATCATTAAATAAATTTCTAAGGGAAATGATTGAAGGTGCGTATACAAAAACCTATTTTTTTCGGAAACGGTTGATTTAATCGAAACAAATGTAGAGCACCTTTTTTGAAGAGAAATGACCAAAGTATTTAAAAAATCAGTATTCAGGTGTGTAAAATAACTCCTGTCAAAAATTTGGCACAATGAATATGGTGGCAAGTCCGTTCCTGACTTCCCAGACTATGTGAAACATCTGCTGTAGGACGATTTTATGAGTCTTTATGGCCAACATAAAATATCAAAACTTCATTAAATTATACAAATCGGTTCAAAAGTTAGAGCCAAAAATGTGTATCGCCAAGTACTCTTTTGGGGCTCTGTATCTCCGTTAAGGGGCACTTTAGGACTTTTTTTTTTAGAACAAAGTAGGGTTATTTTGACCCCTACAAAATATAGGAATTGTGTTTGATTGAATTAAATATTTGTTTTTTCCGTATAAATATTTGGTCTATACATGAACTGGTCATAGCTGTTACTCGTGTTGGGCCATTTATATAGGATTCAAAACCATAAGATAGTAAAAGAGACAAGTAACTGTTGGTGTCAATATTTTCTTCAGCTAATATATTTACATTCAAGTCCCCTATGAGTATATCATCAATATGAGAGATTGCTCAATCAAACATAGATCAGGGTATTGTGCTCTTCAAGAATATAGAATGAAATATAGGGCAATCCAATTAGAAAAAAACTGGAAGCATTCAAATACAAAAAAATTCAAATTTTGTTTCTGACCATTCAGCCAAAATTGTACAACTTTTGTATTTACACCTTTCTTCTACCTGTAAAGGTAAAGGCTGTAGGTGGGGTGTCAATATATAAAAAAAGACCTTGTATAAATAAGTGGATTATTACAGAACCTATGGGTGGACCCCTGCGGGACGAGCGCAGCGAGTTCCGCAGCCATTTACTCACCAATATACTGTTGAACTGTTCAAATAAGACACTCACCTGAAACGTGTACTTTTTAAACTAATGAGAATAACTCACATTTGAGTGAGTCAAGTTAGTATCGTAATTAAACAACATATTGATGAATAGAGGGCCACCCATAAGTTCCGCAACAATCCACTCGTTTGTACTTGAATAACTTGTCACATTATGTTACTAGTTTAGTAAAGTAACATTACTAATTCCTGTTAAAAGGCAAATTGACAAAAAGTAGATAATCTAACAAATTCTGACTTCATATAATAAGCAGGGCCGGCTCCAGACATTTTGGCGCCCCGTGCAAAAGGTATTTTTGCCGCCCCTATTACCGATTACTTTCCTACTTTATAGTTCCAGTACTACCTCCGGTACTACCCATTTGCTAAACTTACTATTGATTTTAATTTTGTCCAATGTTCTTATATGATATATTACCTATTATTTTCAAGTTTTTTGGAATATTTTGATTACTATACTATTTTAATGCAACTTACAATTAGGCTCTCCAAACCACGTGATTTTTCAATATGGCGACCGTGGAAAATTTCACGTTTGTTTGTTTATCTTGAGTTTATTTGGAATATTTTCAAGCTAATTACAGTTTACTTTGTTATAATATACTTTTTGAGATGCAGAGTGAATATTTAAAGACTGGAATGCAGGAAAATCGTGATCTGGGCGAACGGTTAGTTTTAAAACATGTCCAGATGACATTTTGATCCAAAGTTTACATTAATGAGCAAAATGAAGGCCTACAAAAGCTTAGGTTCTTACGAATATTTCGAAAATGGCTTTATTTCAGTTGCAGGAACATTGGTAGTGAAAAATGTTCACGTTTTGATTGGAAAATTTTAAAACAAAGGGCAATGAAAAAAGCCTGACATCATCCTTGTTACCTTGTTGAAACTACTCCCACAATCAACTTCAAGACCCGCTTGTGGCATTTTTAATTGGAAGAAACACTAATGAGTCAATAAAATAAAAAAATAAACAGAGTTCATTCACGAAACAACCACAAAATGCACTTTAAAAAGCTTTAAATTACATACTCTCATAGACGGGATAATGAATTTCCGCCACAACGCACTTTTTGACAGGTCGTTGGAATGCCTAATTGTCGGCAACTCTCAAATAACACAAAAACATAACCTGCAAGCCGACCTAGGCAGTTTAGTGGTTAGTGTATTGCAGTGGCGACGCGTGGTGTCTAAGTAAGGGTGGGCGACACAAGGTCGCGGCCTTTTCAAATATTTTATCTAAAGTGTTTTTTATTTTTCCATTTTTTCTCCAGGGTGGCGGTGCCCACCTTGCCCATATGGGTGAACCGCCACTGGTGTATTGCGGTATTGCTTCGCGGGTTAGAATCCCGGCTAGGGCATGGTTGCTTGTTGTTTGTGGTGTTTAACCGGCTCGTTAGCTTGGCGAGAGGATGTGAAGGGACTTTCTCAGGCTTGCGTGATATCGGTGGATTCTGAATGGCCGACCATGGATTGCGAATCAGACCATATTAGGGTGGGGAATGCCGAGAGGGATGCATGATAAGGGCCGACCATTTAGACTCTAAGTATAAATGGGAAGGAGTAGAGTCCATGGAAATGATGTACAATAAGCCATAATGAGCTTCAGTGCAGAGCATGGGCTCGAAAGGGTGAAAAAAAACATAACCTGAGTTATGTAGTTGAAAATCTTCCACTATTATTTACTTAATGTTAAGATAATGCATCTACTTTCTAAAGTATTTACTCTAACGATATATTTATGACTTTTTCCAATATATAAGTGTGTAATCAACCTTAGAAGTTAAGTTAGTGTTACTGAAGACTTTGTACTGTTAGCATAAGTTTGTAAACCTAATTTCGAAAATAAAAGTTTTTTTTACGGTTTCGCGTAAACGAGAAACTTAACTCCTGTTCGGGTTTGAAAAAAGAACGGTTTCTGGGACGCTTCAGAACAATTGCCCAGTGTAACCGACAACAAAATGACAACGGCTCGGCTATCACAAATTTCAATAATAATTTGCGCGGGTTTGAAAAAAGCTATATTTAGTTCATAGAACTGTGCTCAGATCGTTTAGAATTGATCAGAGTTTGAAAAAACCCGAACATGTTTCATTTTATTCGTTTACAGAGCAGGCGAACACGAAAATTGATAAAATAAATCATGAAGCTATTGTAATTTGTAGTGTGGTTTTTTTTATCCAACAATTATCCCCGAGATTTTTGCCGCCCTATGATTTTGCCGCCCCGTGCAGGGGCACAGGCTGCACGGGTCCTGGAGCCGGCCCTGATAATAAGTTATTGTTGAAGTACAGGGTGGTTTTTTATATATTGACATCCCA